ATATTAATGTAAAGTTGCGCTGAAGTGGCGCATCCCCCTCATTTCTGCTCTAGCTCCGCCCCAGCACACATTTTAACCAGAAGAATGACAACCGTTGCGCAGATAATTTAGGGATACTAATGTCTAGTAACAAAATGCAATGAGTGAGGAAAGACACGCTACCTCCATCATACGATATACATAGCCTCTTGTTCTTCGCGGTACTGCTTGGCGTTGATCTTGCGGCGTGTCATCGCCCTCCACTCTTCTTCAGTCCTGTCGGCGAAAAGGTTTGGGAGGTGTGGACTTGGACTGGACTTTCCTGCTCCTGCATACACGGACTCTACACGCTTCAGAGTTTCCTTGAAGATCTCAAGTCTCTTGGCGTTCTCCTCCTCGCTCGGGTATGTCCTGTCAAGTGTCAACCACTTCATCCACGCATGGAACATCGCTTCCATTGCCTGTTAGTTATCTCCTGCCTGGGATTGTCGTCGGTCACCTCGGGCTTCTTGCCAGGAACATTCGTCTCGGTGTCCTCGTCGGCCACATCGCCGTTTACATACAGGTGCCAATCCATGCGTAGGTTAGTGTTGACACTCAAAAATGTAATTAGGCGTGAGCAGTTAGGTTCATGTATGGCTAGGTCACACATCCAACAAAGCAAATGACCACAAATCCAAAATCAATTTCAACTCATACCTGCGTGGTGGTCATCTGCATGTTTCTTGCCTAGAGTTTTCTAGTACAAACTTCTCTTTCAATTTTTTTGGTGGTTGGGCTCTGAGACAGAACGCTGTTCAATGTAGTAGGATAGCAGTACTCTTAACTGTCTCTTCTTGTGCTGTCCTTTGTGCTGTCCTAAAACTCCAGTATTTCTGTTTGATGAATGAATGAAAATGGGACTTGACCTCGTGAGGAAGAAGGGAAAGAAAAAAAAAACGCGGCCGCGGCACCATAGGCGCGACCAGACGAGGTATCTCTCTATTTCCATACGCTGAGAAACGAGAGCCGCCAGTGACGACGAAATTTTCGGGTAGGAACGGGAGCGGGACTCGCGACAATGTGGGGATCTGAGATTTGGTAGGAACGGGAGCGGGACTCACGACAGTGTGGAGAGAGCGTAGTGGCCAGCCGGCCGCCGCCGACACTGAGGCCGCCTGGGAGGCGATCCTTGGAGAGGTCTCCGCCTGCGCGTGGCAGATCTCGCGTGGTAAGAACCTTCGGGTGAGGAGGGAACCGAGGGACCGGAGGGACATGAGCTCGATCACTGCGCCGCCGCCGGCTCGACTTCCTCTTCGCTCTCGTCTCGCCGACGGATTTCGCTGTTGATGACTTGATGTGCACGGCTGCACGCGTGGGCCTTTGGCTTTTGGCCTTTGGGCTTTGGGTCACCACATGTCATCGAATGGCTTGAAGAGGTCGACCCATCCAACGGCCCTGAAATCGAGCAGCCCAGTCTGCGATTGAAAGAAAGGAGGAATTCCAGAACGGTCTCTGTTTGGCGCCGAGGGCCTAACTACCTCAACGAACTCGTTCCTCCCACCTAGCTCCGCCCCCCGCAGTGCAGGCATCTGACGCCGTCATTCGATGGATCACTGGCGAGCTCTAAAGGATTATATGTTTGCTTTGATTTGGTCTACTACATTCCGTGGTACGTAGTAGTAGACCAAAAGAGCTGCTTATGCATACATACACAAGAATGGCAAAATATTCAGTGCAAACCACATCTTCAGTGGTAAAAGAGCTACTTATAAATCCTGAGCTTGTTATTTTCATATGAATTTTTGCAAAAAGAGTTTGAATCTCAAATTTTGTGATAGTGCACATCTATAGATGCACTATTGGTCTGCAAAGTTTCAAGTTTTTTAGAAACTCCTAAGTATGGTTTTGCAAAGGGTTTTCACGATTGCACCGAAGATGTGGTTTGTACTGAATATTTTGCCAGTAAGATCGATGGTTTGAGGTGGAAAGAGAAAGAACACCGGGGAAAATTTTGTGAGGAGACAGGGTCTCTAGGAAGTTTAATAGATATATTTCTCCACCCAAAACCAAACCAATTACATTTTGCACCACAGGGTCCCCTTGAGACCTGCAAAACCCTGAAAAGCTCCATCTAGTTTATGAGAACAAAACTAATCCTCCATTGACCAGAACTTCTCCAAAAGGGGATCATCTATAAACTGTAAACCCTGAAACTCTGTATCTAATTGCTGAGGATCAAACCAATCGTCCATGGATACAACTCCCACAGGAAGGGGTTCATCATCTCAACATCCACGGGACTGCAGTGGTCGGGTTCATAAACTTTTTTATATGACTCTGATCAAAGACAAAATTTATACAAAAAAATGGAGATCTGATTGCATCTACAATCATGTAATCAATATTTTTTTACGATTAAAGCCATTCTGGTGCTGAAATAACGATACAGGGTTTCTATAATCAAATACAGATCTAAATAATGTACCAATATATTTGTATTAAGAAAGTTTCAATTGAAAAGGAGTGATTGATATAGTTATATAACTCGTGTCGAGATCTGTAATTTCCATATAAGTCTTGTATCTATCTGAACTCATGAGAAAAAGTTTATTTTTCAAGATGCGCTGTGTAGAAAAGGGCATTTGAAATGCGTAGATTTGAATCTCGCCAATTCAGTTGGTGAAAATAGTACATTTCTAAAAAAACATTCGGACAATGATTTTTTCAAAACACAGATCAATTTATTTAAAAAAAACATCATCCGTCTTGGTCACCAGTGCAATCTTGTCGTCAGACCAGCACAGACGGTTCCTAAACCTCCATTGCGATCTAACGGTTTCTAGACTTCTCTCTATGGATGGTAAATTGGTCGGATATAGTGCAGGTGCAGCAAACACACTCCCGAGATAAAGCAGGGACACATCTAGCAATGGGGCGAGGGGGGCTCAAGCCCCCCTACCGCCGCTGATCCCATGACGCCCTCCTAGAGCCCCTATAGGAATTTTTGTCATAGCTGCTTTGAGGAGGAGAGGCTAGAGGTTCAAGATAATGACTTCAGTCTCCCCTGAACTTTCATCCTAGATCCGTCACTCAGGTAAGACTTGCAACATTTTGTCACGGTGGCCCTCACATCACCCTGCGGATGAAAGTTTGCATAGACGCCGAAGCCCACAGGTGAGGACCCAGGTGTGTAAAAAGTATAGGTAATATATCATCATGGTTACATTAATAAGTATAGAAATATGACAAGAAATAATTATTTCTCATCTCTGCGTCACACGTAGTCATGTAACACATAGGTAGCAAGTAATTATACAAGTTCTTAATAAAATGAATTGAAAATCTAAGGCCTAGTTACCAAGCATATTGTTGGTAATTGGACATGTGATACTTGGTTACCTAGGGTGACACTTATATTTCAGTCCCCTGTAGGCATCCACGGTGCGATTTAACACCTGCATTGACCCCTCATTCATCTCGGACCCCAACCTGATGAGATCCATTGGTGTGATTTAGCATCCGTGCTCTCACCCTAGCGGGTGTGACGTCCACGAGTCCAACGGCCATCTCTACTACATGTCCTAGAGTGTTATGTTGCCTCCGTTCTAAATTGTAAGTTGCTTAGTTTTTCTAGATACATAATTTTTACTACGCATCTAGATATCCGTTATGTCTAAATACATAATAAAACTATATCTCTAGAAAAGCTAGAACGATTTAAAGTTCAGAATGAAGAGAGTATGTCTAAACTCTTGAAATACAATGTCAAATCCTGAGCTTGCTATGTGATGCCATCTAAATTCTAAATTCTCAAAATGAGATTGTTCAAGGCCTCGTTCACTTTGTAAAAAAAGTGAACCCGATAAATAGTACAATTTTCGTCTTATTTGGTAAATATTGTCCGATCGTGGACCAACTAGACTTAAAAGATTCATCTCGTGATTTCCAACTAAACTATGTAATTAGTTATTTTTTTTACCTACATTAATACTCCATACAAACAGCTAAAAATTAATGTGATGGAGAGAGAGTGAAAAAACTTAGAATTTAGATAGCATCTAAACAAGGCGCAAGTCCCGTACATCTAGCCTTCCAAACTTAGGCCCGTCTCTACACCCGCATTCAATTGAACCTCTAGGTCTACCTAGAGCTATTGAGGGCTTTTCCAACGCACCACCATGGACTACTGCCCCAGCCTCTATGGCCTTGTTCTCTTTGCAAATTTTTGCAATCCGATGAATAGTACCACTTTTGTCTTATTTGGCAAATATTGTCCAATCGTAGACCAACTAGGCTCAAAAGATTCATCTCGTGATTTCCAACTAAACTGTGTAATTAGTTATTTTTTTTACCTACATTTAATACTCCATGCAAGCGGTTAAAAATTGATGTGATGGAGAGAGAGTGAAAAAACTTGGAATTTGGTGTGCATCTAAACAAGGCCTATGTCTGCTTCTCAAGTCCACGTCACGGTGAGTAGTAGTCTCGCAGCATGGCAGAGCTTTTTGCAGAAGAGTCTATGGCTAATCTTTTTGAAACATTTTTTGGAGCACACGTTGCAGCGAGAAGGACGCTGCCTTTGTCCCTAAGAAAATAAAGTCGTTCACTTCTGTTAGACCGGAGGTCCCCTCGGAGTTTTGAGAGCTCTTTTTTTTTCTACGATTAGTACTGCTGCTTTTGGCTGAGGCTAACACGTTGGTGAAGCCCCGAGCAGCCCGGCCCAAAACCAGTGTGCCACGCAACGCTGTGGGACCCGGTGATGGAGGATGATGGAGTCAGCCAGTGCAGTCGTCCGAGGTGGCAGCGGCGCACCTCCAGAATCCAGTGCCGCGCCCCGATTGGGCGGAGCCAAATCCAGAAATCTCCACCTCACATCCGCCGCTCCAATCGCCGCTCGCTTCTTCCCCGGCAACAAGAACACTTTGTGCTACAAATACGTCCACGTAACCCCTCTCCGAGCCTTAGCACCCCACGGTTTCAAAAAAGAAAAAGCTAGCTTAGCTTTGCTCGCCAGACAAACCGGAGCAGAGCTGCAGCAGATGGCGTCGACGATCATGGCCGCCACCTCCCGCGTCGTCGCGGCCAAGACGCCGTTCCTCGGCCAGGGCCGCGCCGCCGCCAATGCCAGCCCCCTCCGCGACGTCGCCGCCGCCGCCAGCGGCCGGATCACCATGGTACGTAACGTACGCCGAGGTGGTCCATGGCATGTTGTGTTTCAATCAATCCGGTAATCAACTAACGAGAGTGATTGCTCGCTTGGATTGCAGGGCAACAACCTGTGGTACGGCCCGGACCGCGTCAAGTACCTGGGCCCCTTCTCCGCGCAGACGCCGTCGTACCTCACCGGCGAGTTCCCCGGCGACTACGGGTGGGACACCGCCGGGCTGTCGGCGGACCCGGAGGCGTTCGCGCGGAACAGGGCGCTGGAGGTGATCCATGGGCGGTGGGCGATGCTCGGTGCGCTGGGCTGCATCACCCCGGAGGTCCTCGAGAAGTGGGTGCGCGTGGACTTCAAGGAGCCCGTGTGGTTCAAGGCCGGCGCGCAGATCTTCTCCGAGGGCGGGCTGGACTACCTCGGCAACCCCCAACCTGGTGCACGCGCAGAGCATCCTCGCCGTGCTGGGGTTCCAGGTCATCCTCATGGGCCTGGTCGAGGGCTTCCGCATCAACGGCCTCGACGGCGTCGGCGAGGGCAACAACCTCTACCCCGGCGGCCAGTACTTCGACCCGCTGGGCCTCGCCGACGACCCCGTCACCTTCGCCGAGCTCAAGGTCAAGGAGATCAAGAACGGCCGCCTCGCCATGTTCTCTATGTTCGGCTTCTTCGTCCAGGCCATCGTCACCGGCAAGGGGCCCCTCGAGAACCTGCTCGACCACCTCGACGACCCTGTCGCCAACAACGCCTGGGTCTACGCCACCAAGTTCGCGCCAGGGTCTTAAGCTAGCCGGACACGGCGGCGTGCCGGGACATTGTAGACTACTCGTTTGTGTTGTAACATTACATTTGTACCATGAACGAATGCAAATATTCTTGTGCTCTCTCAGAACTCAGGAACGTACTGGACTAGTTTGGTCTTCCATTCCAATTCCATCCATGTTAACTGATTCGGTGTGTCCATATGTAGCTGTCTCTATTTTTTTTTTTTACAAACACAACTACACAAGCTGTCCAGAAGTAGTGCAGAATTTAGAGGCTGCTAATTACAATAGGCATATTTCCAAACTGTGTACTTAGGTATCCCTGTGTCATTTTCGCAAAAAAAGGTATCCCTGTGTCAGATGCACATTTGGAGATTAAGGCTTTGAAAGCGGTCCCAAAGAAGCTGAGGAAAAGATTTCAACCTTGGAAGGGAAGAAAGATGACATCTGGTGGGAGATTGATATTAACAAAAACTTCCTTGAGTAGTTTGCCAATTTATACAATGGGGATATATCAGCTTCAGGAATGTGTTCACCAACAGATGGATTCTGTAAGGGCAAATTTCTTCTGGCAAGGGGCCAATGACAAATTTAAATATCATATGGTAAAATGGAGAAATCTGTGTTTACCTCATGAGGCACTTATTGGAAAATGGGGATGGAGAATGTTGCAGGCTGACAAAGGGTGTCAATGTTCTAGTCTGTTACAGGGCATACATCCTTTTCTACAATGTGGGAGGGAGACAGGTTCACAATTTTGGAAGGGTGTTTTGAAATCTAGAAATATCTTGAAATGGGGCTGTCATACTAAGGTGAATAACGACCGAAGCACTAGATTTTGGGAAGAGATATGGGTTGGAAATGTAAGGAAAATGGACCCTTGGCCCATTTAGTTTGGATTTTGGTGTTTGGTGATCAACACAACCAAGTTGGACTAATGTATTTGCAAGTGTATGTTTTGTAGTCCAATAGGTTGCATAGCGAACTTGGACCGAGAGTGGAACATGAAGAATTGATCAACACTTTGAGGAAGACACAAAGAGGATGTGTGATCAATCTAGAAGTGAAGCTAGGAGTCCAAGACGCAAAGATTAAGAAGCACGGACCAAGACACGAACAAAGTTGAAGTCACCGAAACCGTGACAAAGATGTGATTGAATTAGAACTGTCTCGTGATTTTAGATCAGCTCAAATTGATATAGCACCAGTTCGGAGTTGTAGAGCTCTTCATTAGCTTTCCAAAAAGTCCAAGATCATCAAAATTGGAGTTTGGAACCAAAAGTTATGTCTAAAATATCAAGATCTTAACCGAACTTTTAGCAAACAGACTCCAAAGCAAAGCATTGCAAGTGATCCATGAAAATCAGTTTGGTTTTATAAAAGGAAGGACAATACAGGACTGTTTAGGATGGGCCTTTGAGTTCTTAGATCAATGCCACCACTCCAAAAGAGAAATCATTATTCTCAGGTTAGATTTTGAAAAGTCCTTTAATATGGTGGAGCACTCAGTTATTCTTGATATGCTTAGAGCTAAAGGTTTTCCTCCCAAATGGCTAAAATGGATCAGTGATATCCTCTCCCCGGTCATTTCCTCGGTGCTACTGAATAGGGTTGCTGGTAAAGAGTTCAAATGCAAAAGAGAGGTCAGACAAGGGGATCCCTTGTCCCCTCTTCTTTTTGCAGTAGCAGCAGATCTTATGCAGAGTGTGATCAATCATGAGTATGGACAAGGAACTCTTCTGCCTCGTTTCCCTCAAAATCAAGACACCCCTTTTCCAATAGTGCAATATGCAGATGACACCATCTTGATCATGCAAGGGTGTGAAGATCAATTGATGTATCTTAAGGAGATTCTGCATAAGCTTACCATGTCCAGTGGGTTGAGAGTTAATTACCACAAATCCTGTATAGTCCCCATCAACATTGATCAGGAAAAGGCCTCCTCCCTTGCTAATGTTTTTGGCTGCCAACTGGGAACATTTCCTTTCACATACCTTGGACTCCCTATGGTCCTCACTAAACCTCAAGTCAAAGATTATGCCCCCTTAATCTGTAGGATTGAAAGAAGGTTGTCTGCTAGTTCCCAATTTCTATCCTATGCTCGAAGGCTGCAGTTGGTGAACTCTGTTCTATCCTCACTTCCAACTTATTTCATGTGCTCATTAAAACTACCTGTCACAGTCATTGACATCATTGATAAGCATAGGAAGAATTGTCTCTGGAGAGGAAGTGATTTTAGAAAGAAAGGATATAATTTGGCAGCATGGAATTTGGTTATGAAGCCTAAAGACATAGGTGGTCTTGGGATCATTAATTTAAGTCTTCAAAATGATGCCCTGCTGCTCAAGCAGTTAGATAAATTCTATAGGAAAGAAAATACTCAATGGGTGAAACTCATATGGCAGAAGTATTACTATGAAGGTGTCCCTCATCTTAAAAAAAGAAAAGGTTCATTTTGGTGGAAAGATATTTTAAGGCTTCATATTCAATATAGAGGAGTGGCTTTCTGGATTCCAAAAAGAGGAGATACTGACAGCTTCTGGTTTGATCTCCTTTTTGGAGTAATTCATTCTCAGAAATATCCTCATTTGTTTGCGTTTGCCAAAGAACCTGATATATCGTTATGGAAGCTTAGAAATGTTAGAATATCTAGTTACTCATGTGAACACTCTACCGGTTAGGCTCTTTCATGTGTGAATGCGGCACTGGTCCGGCCCTTTGGGCCCCTATATACTTGTAATCCCTTTGGTACCTCAAATCAAGTATGCTAAGCCTGTTGGCTTAACCTTCTATCATGGTATCAGACGACTAATTGGTCCTGTGCCTGTTTCTCTCCCACCCAATCCCCTCCTTCCGCTCCTTTCCCGGCGCCCGCGTCCGCCTCTTCGGCCGCCGCGCCCGCCTCTTCGCGCCGCGCCCACCTTGACGGCCGCCGCGCGCCTCCCGACGCCGCCGTGCGCGTCTCGTCGGCTGCCGCGCCCATGGCTGCCCCTCCATCCGGCGACTCCAGCTCCGGCACCTCGATCGATCGCCGCATGCAAACTTCGTGATTTAAGCCATCGCCACCGCTAAGACCCTAGAAGACGAGGCCGCTTCACAAGACCTCCAACGCCGAAGCGCTTGATCAAGCAACTCCAGGAGGAGGCGGACCTTCTCAAGTCCGCCGCCGCCGCCCAGGAACGCGTCCGCGCCGCCGCCGCCGCCCTCGATTCAGAGCGCGCGCAGGCCGACGCTCTGGAGCAGCAGGCCTCTGCCCTCCGGGATCGGCTCCACGCTAATCCCCTCCGCGACAACGACTCGCTCGACGACGACGATACGTGCTCCATCTCCTCTGAGGCCGCAGCCATCGCCACACCGTGATAGCCAAAGCCGCGCCAGATGTAACATCAAGAACTTGATCCCCATCGTTCTTGATCTGCAGTCCTCCAACTACTCCAAATGGCGTGGCTACGTCCTCCTCACCCTCGGCCGCTTCGCCCTGAAGGACCACGTCCTCAAAGAACGTCACCCGCCCCACGATGCGGCGTGGTCCCGCATGGATCGCATCGTCGTCTCGTGGATCTTCAACACCATCTCCCCGACCTCCTCGACGCCGTTTCACGAAGCGCCGACGCAGCATCACCGCCGGGCGGCGTGGGCTCGGCATCGAACAGCAATTCTTCAACAACCGCGAGTCCCGCGCCATGCTCCTCGACACCGAAGTTCGCACTCTCCGCCAGGCGCCCTCTCCATCGACGAATCACTGCCGCAAGATGAAGAGCATGGCGGATGCGCTTTGCCGATCTTAGCGAGCCCATCCTAGACCGTACTCACGGTGCTAAACGCCCCTGCGCGGACTCAATGAACGTTTCGATTCATGTCGCAGTCACTCACCGACAGAGACCCTTCCTCCTTCATCGACGTCGCGCCGACCTCCGCTTTGGCCGAGCTCAACATGGCGCCACCCTCAAGACCACCTCGGCCCTCGTCGCCTCGTGCGTCAAAGAGGCCGCCCACTCCTCCACCGCCTCTCGCACCCCGCTCCCTCATCAGTGCCGGGCAGCCATCCGCAACAAAGAACGGTCGCGGTCGGCGTCGCCGCGGCGGACGCGGCCAAGGCGGCACACAAGGCGGCTCACCAAGTGGCCAGCAGCCCCCTGGCGGTCAGCAGTGGCCCTCCATCCTCAACCCATGGACCGGGTCCATCCATATGTGGCCGGGTCCCACCTCGAGGTCTCGCGGTCCACCGCCTCGCCGTCTCCGCCTCCATCATCGCAGAAGAAGCCCTAGTGGCTGGTGTGACCCCGGGGTACTTCACTCCATCGCCGGTCCTCGGGGCATACTACCAGGCGCCCCAGCAGGCGCCCTCTCCTACTTGGTCGCCATGGACTATCGAGTCCCTCGCCAACGCCTTTAGTACAGTCGCCCTCACTCCGCCACCAAGCTCCTCGGACTGGGTCATCGACTCTGGTGCTTCCTCTCACATTGCCTCCAACCCCGGGTATGGTCACACCGCCATCATCCTCTTTTCCTTCCTCCATTGTTGTTGGCAATGGTGCCACCCTTCCAAATGGTTGGCACTGGCTTCTCCATCCTTCCGGCCTTTTTTCGCCTCAACAATGTCCTTATAGCTCCCGACATTATTAAAAATCTTCTTTTCAGACGCATAAGTTCACCACCGACAATTCTTTTGCATTGAATTTGACCCTCTTGGCGTTTCGTGAAGGATCTCCACTCCAAGGACACCCTCCTTTGATGTAACAGCTGGGACCTCTCTACACCTTGTACCGCTTACATCTTCCTCCAGCCTCAAGCGCTTTTGTGGCTACTCCTCCACGACTACACCGGCATCGTCGCCTCGGACACCTCGGCAAGGGCGCCCTTCGAGTCTTGCCCAATCCTCTTTGATCATCTGCAAAGAAGTTCGACGACGACTCCCTCCGCCATGCGTGTCAACTTGGACGCCATGTTCGCTTACCTTTTACTAGTTCCTTGTCTAGAGCAGCTAAGATTTTTGATTTGGTACATTGTGATCTATGGAC